CAGAGAAAATATAAGATCTCAAAGAAGATGGAGCATGCTAAAAAGACAGAGCCAACCTGAAGGCTATAGCTGGAACAATTTGAACAACAAAATAAATAATGACAGTATTAGATTATAAGCAATAGAATAAAACAAATATCTGTAACTCAGTACTGATATAAACAAATTACTGAATAAATAACTATGGCAAGGGGACAGTTCTTCCTTATAGAAAAATTCCATTAAGTGTAGAAGGAAATGAGAAAAATATGAAATCACCATCAGACAAACCTCTCTATAATTCTAACAGGCAAGATCTACCAAAGAATGCTACAATGAGTGGGTAAGAGTTTGAGGAGATATCTGCATAGTTACAAAGAATCTCCAAGATAGCTAGTATTTACAAAGAGAAAAATATTTAGTAACTTTACAAGTAGAGAAATTTAACAGACATGACCTTTACCAAATGAGAATATAATCTCTAATACAATATGATGACATCCTGTACCCTGTGATATGATGCACTGAGTAGGATGCAACATCATTTGTGTAGTATTTTTCCAAAAGTGCCTAACCTCAATCTAATAATTAGAAAACATCAAAAACAAATTAAGACACATTCTACAAAATAACTTATCACACTCATCACAGGTGTGACAGTCATGAGCGATAAAAGACTGTCAAGGATTGGACAATTAAATGCCATGTCTAATCTTGGATTGATTGAATCCTAACACAGAAAACAGACACTAGTGGAAAAATTGGTGAGATTCAAATAAGGTCTGTGATTTCGTTAATAGTATTGTACCGCTGCTGATTTCCTGGTTTTGATCATTGTATTCTGGTTATGTAAGTTGTTAACATTAAGGAAAGCTGGGTGAAGAGTATACGTGAGCTCTCTGTACCAATTTTTGCAACTTCTCTGTAAGTATAAAATTTCAAAAAGAATTTTTTTCATGTTTTTAGGTATTCTGTACTTCTATATCCTTCAACTGCATTAAAACAAAGTTGAGAAAATCAGGAACTATTTATTCAGCATAAATCTAACATTTCAATATTTTAAAAGCAGCCTACATTAGAACAAGACTTAAGTCATTGAATTCATACTTACTAAATATTTCCTATATTCCAGACCTCTACCAGGTGCTAGAAATGTTGCCCTCAAGAAGCTTACAGCTGATAAAAGAAACAAAAATGATAAACTGTCAACCCGATTAATGAAAAATTCTGACACATACAGACTATAATCTAATGATTAAATAACAACAGTAACACCACTTACAATGTTGAAGTGTATAAATGAAAATCCTTTGGATAATTAAATCTTCAAATAGGACATTTACAGAGTTTAAGTAAGCTTAACAAACTCACCACATATTTCATACAGTGGTCTTACATGTAATAATTAGTGTCTAATGCTTCAGAAAGTACTATTAAATATTTTCTATCAAAGGTTTTATTTCTCCGATGTAGAAACTAGCTGCTTACTTTAACCTCAGTCAAAAAAATAATAAAAGAGAGGTAACAATAATAAATATAATCACAAAAATGAAACTGAAGTTCTTAAATCAAGAACAACCTCAGCAAAAAAATACAGGCAGATCAATTATATAGAGAGTACCTGGCTAAAGACTAACTGAAAATCACAATGCTATCCAATACAGAAAGTATTACAAATTCACTGAAGAACACAGTATGAGTTAGCATTTTTAATTCTTCAAAGCAATAATGCTTAAAGCAACTTAAAGATAACATTCTATCTACCCTCTCTCCAGGTGACTCAATCAACAGGGTTCAACTGCATCCCAAAAGTCATTGCAGATGCTAACATTATGATCCTCACACTAGTCCTCTAAGTTTGAAGAATCAAAGGAACTGCATGGTTCCAGTACCTATAATAGGCCTTTACAAATCAAAGTAGTAACATAGGATGAATCTACATATTAAAGAAAGTAACAAAAGGATTGTGCTAACATCTGCTATGTAGTAGAAACATTACTGTTAAGATTCAAACCCAAGCAAGGAACTAGATCACTCTGAATAGATACTGTGATTAACTGATAACTGATTGAGAATTCAGTCATACATCTCAAGTAGCAATAACTTGTTATAAATCTCATGAGAACATTCCAAATTTCTGCTTGTTTTTCCCAGATTTAACTTTAGCCAATCAAAAAGTCTTCAAAATATTAAGATTCAGCCTGGTCCTGTCAATTCACCTGAATTTCACCGACAGTACATACATAAAAACAGTTTTCAGTAATAACCAAATAATTTTCTAGCATATAAAAAGGACAGATAAGAAAGGGGGAACAATAGAAACAATGCAAACTTTTGTTTAAAAAGTCTGGCAGGCCCTCACTGGTGTGTCTCAGTAGGTTAGGTGTCTTCCTGCAAACCAAAAGGTCTCTGATTCAATTCCCAGTCAGGTCCCTGGCTGGGGGTGTGCGAGAGACAACTGATCAATGTTTCTTTCCTTCTCTTTCTCCCTCCCTTCTCTTCTAAAAATAAATTATAAAAATCTAAAAAAAAAAAAAACAGTCTCATGAAAAGCTCTTTTAACCACCACATATCCATAGGTCACTGGGCAAAGACCAAATCAGAAATTTTTGCCATGATCCATGACTTTCTCCAGTTTTCTACATTCTTTACTTAGAATTGGTCCCATCTTGTTTCATAACTTTTAAATACTGTTGAATACTCTAAAATGTACAAGCTGGCAAAGTGCGTGAAGTATGCTACCACTTTTCAAAGTGGGGATGAAAAAATATATACACACACACATATTTGCTTGCATGTGCACAAAGTATATCTTTGGAAGTACTACATGTAAGAAAACACTTAACATTGTGTGGCTCCAACCAAAACTGGGTGATGGAAGACAAAAAATAGAGATTTTCATTCTATTCCTCATCAAACATTTTAAATTTTGAATCATGTGAATGTAGTTTTTATTCAAAACATAAATAAGCCAACACATAAATGCTGATGATTCCCCATCTCTTTCTCTCCTCACCAGATTTATGTCCCATTAAGGTAGAGATTTTTTAATCTATTTTCTCACTACTATAATCCCACTGCAATTTGTTGAATAAATGACTCCTTAACCTTTCCACTAAATTCCAGACATGTATATCCAATTGCCTACTTCTCACATCTGCTTGAACATCTAACAGTTTCTACTTAACATGTCCAATTCTACCCTATCCCCATATAACACCTGCTTCCTTCAACTTCCCCATTTCAAAGCATGGCCATCACCATCCTCCAGCTGAAGCCCAAAACCTGGGAATCACCCGTCCCAACCAGCTGCACCTCCATCCAAACCACCAGTCCAATAAATATCTTTAATTCCAAAATATATCTCAAAACCTTTTTTACTTGTCTCTAATGTTCCAGTCACTACACAGCCTGCCACAGCCTTCTTCTCACTGGTCTCCCTGCTTCCTTTTTCCCATTATCCCATCTCCTCCACAGTCAGACTGTAAATCAGGCCCTACCACTCCCAGCTTTCCAATAATTCCAATAGCTTTTCCATGTACTTTAAAAATAAAAGCCAAATGCCTTAGGACAATAAGACCTCACGTGATCTGGCCTCTGGCTGTGACCTTCTTATCTTTCACAAGAGCCTTCTCTGAGCTTCTTTCAGTTCGCTGAACCCAAGCTTGATACTACCTCTGAGCATTTCCATTAGTTGTTCCCTCTGACAGGAACCCTTCTTTCAGGTTTCCAAAGGCTAAATAGCCTCTCACTTTTCAAACATCAGGTCAAAGTTCATTTCAGACAGGTCTTTCCTGACCACAGCATCAAAAGTAGTCACCCAGTCACTACCACAACTCCCTATTTTATCTCCTTTATAGCATAATTCTCTAAAACTATTTTTACTTATAGTCTCTCTCTCTCTCTCTCTCTCTCTCTCTCTCTCTCGCTCTCCCCCCCCCCCTTCGTCCCCCACCAACAGAACTTAAACTCCAGGAGGGCAGGAGCTTCAGTGTCTTATGCTTGGCATAAGAACCAGGTACTTAATAAATATTTAACTGATAGATAAGACAAAACTGACTTTAAAGAAGTCCACCATACTTAATTTAGTGACAGGCTGGTAAGAATAAAGGACATGGATAGATAAGCTAATTTCACAGTTTTAAAACACTGGAAATCAGCAGAGTGTAGAGGGTGAAGGAAGAGTATTTCAGATGCATGTGAACACTGAAACACATAGAAAAGGTATTTTTCACACATCACGTGCATGCACACTGCAGAAATGTTCCCGCAACCTGTAAACAATACCTAAAAAAATCATTTTAAAGGAAAACTCAAAACACTGTGTACGTCTGTTATTTCACCTGTGATTCTTTTGGAAGGCTCTTCCAAACATGAGAGTTTAGGCAAAAGAGGCAAAGTATACTTAGTCTGCTCATTTGTCTGCCTTGGAAAGGAGTGTGAACTGAGACAATCTTTTGGGTGTTTTAAAATGTCTACTATGTAGTCCGTAGTCAATCTGAACAAAGTCATTACTTCCTATAGTTTACTATTAATGTTGGTTTGGGACAGGTCTAGTTAAAAGATTTTTATAGTGTAAAGTCAATGAGTCTATAGCGCACGTTAACAGTTTACATCTTATTGTCTTCAAAATTTAAACTTCCAAAGTACTGTCTTTCAACTCGTAATAGTAATCCATGAGGGAAATAATAAGGCTTAACAATAAGTGTGTAATTCACAGATGTTTTATTTACATGCATGTATTTGTGGGATGGTAAAGAATGGTCTTGTCTCCCTAAGTGTGTAAATGCTGTAGAGAGTCTAAGGATCTTATTTCACCAAACCCTAAGTGTTGAGACAGGCTACCATGTACATATGCTACTTCTCCCCATAGCTCTCAATCCTCGTTATCTGAGGAAACAAAAGTGGAAATACTGGTGGTAAGGATGTAAGAGATCGATGCCGCCCCCACTGCCAAATACACGGAGATATGTGTCTCCGTGAGCACGTAAATAAGCCGATGAATACACGCACTCTCTCACCTTCCTTCCTTCGGAGGAAAATGGGGCCGAGGGAGGGGCGGCCAAAGCCAGGTTGGGGAGGCCCAGAATCCAGTCCAGGGAGGGTGGCAGGGCTTAGGAGACAGCGCTCTGGGGAGCCGGGGACACTTACAGGACACCATCTTCCCCGGCCACCCGCTTTCCCCCTCTCCCCTCCCCCCTCCTGGCCCCTAACTCCTTTCCTCCGCCCCATCCCCGCCACCCATCAACCGGGAAGGGAAGTTTCCCGGCGTCTGCAGCCGGCTCCCGGACCCTCAGCGGGGTTACCTTCTGCAGAAGCGGGACAAGGGACAGGGGACAGGGGAGGGGAGGCAGCCTGAAGGAATGAAAGACGAAGCCCCGGCGAAGAGGGTGGGCGGCGGTGGCTGTCACTCGCGTTCCCCTGCTCACAGCGCTGCCATTACTGTGCCCGCGGCCACCTCCCCGGCCGGCCGCCGCCACTCGCCCCGCAGACATGGGGGTGCGCGGCGAAGCCTGGGAGCCCGCTGCCCCACGCTCACCTGCCGCCGAGCGGAGACACAGAGAAGCTCGGACTAGACAGTAGCGGAGGGGGAAAGGACGGGCTGGTTAGGGATCCGTGAAACTACCGTCTTCCTGAGCACCCGGCTTTTCCCGCACAGACCCTCCGCGCTCCCCTTTGCACCGCCGCCGACGAACCCCCCTCGGAGAGCAGTGGTAGAGTCCACGTACGGCAAGCGCAAAGCGCCCGCTTTAGTGAAATTGCGACAGGCCGCGGAAAGCCCGGTCTGAAAGCGCTCGGTGTGCTGCGCCGTTCGCTGAGCTGGCGTCTCTGAACCCGACCAGTTTGGATCCTACATTTTAATAACAATATTTCAGGAACGCGTTTTCAGCAAAAGTATTTTCCTTTGAGTTGTTAAAGAACTATGTGAATATTTTCGGGCATCTCCATTTCCTTGCCATACACTTCCACCGGCTTTTTAAATAATCAGAAATATACTAGCAAAACTATTTTTCCTTCTGACATACTCCTTTTCTAGAGCGTTTTCATCTAAAGACAGATTGAGTCTTGACCACCGACTCCCCACCTCTGCATCATCGTATCAGTGTAAAGGGCTTTCCTCCCTCACAGTTTTAAACAGTAATGTTGACAACATATTAACTGTCACCTATAAACAGGACTGCAATGGAACAAAAGCCTGGTGTTATTCCTTATTTGTCTTTCACATCCACGAGTTCTCAGTGGTCAGTCTTGCCAGTTTTGGTCAGTTTTTCATTGGCACGTTTTGAGCCTTTCCCTTCCAACCCTTTCTTCAAATGACTTGCACCAATCCTTCAAGGCCCATTTGATATCCTGTCTCCTGATCTGATAAAAACAAACAAAACCCACCAGTCTTTCTCCTAATCTGCTTCTCGTGGCACTTGAAGTCTGTATCTTGAAGTCTGTTTTAATAAAATTATTGTATACTAAGTTCAATTCAACCGTTTGTTTCCATTATGACCTTTTTCTCACATTCTCCCTCTTTTAATTCTGTAATTATCAAATGGTGGTCCCCAGGCGTCAGGAAATCTGCAAGACTTCCTGGAGTCCCGAGGTTAAAAAAATCTTTATAATAATGCATGTTCTTTGTCTTTTTTTTTTTTTTATTGGGTTCACATTTGTACTGATGGTGTACAAAACAGTATTAATACTGCTGACACTGCCTTATCAGGAATCAAAAGGATGGCACAAAATCCTCTTACTGTTTGCTGCCACACCCCCCCTGGGTTTTGGGTTTTTTTAATTGATTTAGGAATATCCTTGATGAAGTAGTAAAGAGTATTAATTTTATAAATGCTGGCCCTTGTGTACACATCTTTCTAATATTCTCTGAGAAGAAATGGTAAGTACACATACTAGGATGGCTGTGGAAGAAAGACACCCATGTGGCTGAGTTGTAAGCAGAACTATCTGCTTTTTCCATGGAACACCATCTTTCCTTGAAAGAACAATTGACAAATCAATGTTACTCTGACTTGGGAATTGACAAATATTTCTCCAAAATGAACACAATGAGCCTAACACTTCAGCAAACAGCTGACAGTATTCGTTGCCAGTGGTAAAATTTAACTTTTAAATGAAATTTGGAAGTTTGGAAAACTTGTGTTCACCACCATCACTTTGACAGTTTAAAGGCTTTTCTAATAAAACTGTAGTGCTATTAATAAATAAGACTTTTTGCTATTATATGAGGTATGTCGACATATGGATCATCTACATGACACAATGAACCAATATTTTCCAAATGACTAACACAAGACATTACAAAATCATGCATGGATAAAAGATCCATTCAAAGTGCAAGATAGACCAATGAGTAGATAGATATACATGTGCTCTCTTGCATGCATGCATGCGTATGCACACATAAAAAGCAGATTATACAAGGGGTCCTTAATGTGGTTTCAGATTCCTCAATACAACCTTTAAGAAACTGCCACTTGACAAATTTTCTGCAGTGTCAGAATGGAATATCTATACTTACTATATTTTGCTGTGTATAATGTGCACTTTTTTGCCCAAATTTTTGAGGGAAAAATAAGGATGTGCATTACACATGGGTAGTACTAATTCCATATCTATATAAATGTTTTTAATTCTTTTATTTATGCTTATGCATTAAAAGTTTAACTCTAAAAAGCAATAACGATATCCATATGCAAAATAATACCCTGGAATACAACAATCAGTTTTGTTCCTAAACATAAATTTTAAAAAATTGAATTAAAAAATTATAATGAAAAATTTTTTCCTGAAAGTTTGGGCCAAAAACGCGGGTGCCCATTACACATGAGAGCACATTATACATAGCAAAATACAGTATTCAAAAAGACTATTAAATTCTCCTCCTAAGGCCTCCTATTTCCTTCATATACGTCAACCAAAGAGAACCTAGGCGGTCCTCTATTAAGCCAGACATGAAAGATATATTCAAAAGGAAAGCGATGTCATTCTTCTCATTAGAATTCTTTATTTTGGAAAACATGGTTACTTTTCATAGAAACATGCAATTTATGTTAACATGTCTTTGGGTTTATTATTTTTTAATAAATAGATTTTTTAATTTCTCTTTTTAATTCTCATATGGTAACTACTGACATATATAACCCATATAAACACAAGTTCTTTGAGAACCTTAATAATTTTTTAACAGTATAAAGTGGTCCAAACACCAAAGAGTTTTAGAACCACTGCTGTGACTCATAAACCGCTTTTGCTCTTATCACTCCTTTAAAACTCTAGATAGAAGTGTGGGCTAGCATAAAGAGTGCCAACCGTGAATCACTTCAACAACCCTCTAGTTCTAAATTCCGGAGATCCCTCTCACTATCTCATAGATGATCCAACCAACATAAGAGGAAAATTGCATTTCTAAAAATGTTATAGCATCCAAGCCCTTAGTACTCATGTTAAATTGAGATTATTTCTTCCTCCAGAAAAAAAGAAAAAAAGTATCCTTTGGCCAACCTTTCAAGCCACCACTTCAAGTAAGGATTTGTCTTCACCTCCGAACCAAACCTCAAATCCTAGTTCATCTGTAATTCTTTCCTTGTTTTACCTTTTAGCAAAGACTACATATGTTACTAGAATATGTTTGGGCTTTGTATAATGTTTATTGAACTCCTTTATTTTTTCCTGATTTCAAAAGTAATAATTTTTTTGAAAACACTATCAATATTACAGAAATAGATAACCATGTTAAGGTTCATAAATATGCCTCAAGATATTTACTATAAATATGATTAAATAATTTTACATAAATTAGATCATGTTATAGATACACTATTTTTTTAGCCAGCTGTTGATCTTTATGAGAACATTTAAATAATTCTTTTTTTAAAAAATAATTCTTAGGCACAGTAATTTATAAATTAATATTTAAGGAGGAAAATTAATGAAAAATATTTTAAGTAGAATATCTCTAAATGCCATAACATAAATTGTTAAGCAAAATATGTCCATTTCTATTCATTTTCTACTTGTGAGTGTACATAATTTTCTCTTTCAAAATTTTCCAAGTTCATTTTATAATCTCCCTGTACTTACTATTTGAGAAGCCAAACCAGAATCATTTTATGTCCTTATAAGCTTTTCATATAGACATAAAAACAAAAGAGCTCTGATTTTTCTGAGACATTTATGATTTTAAATAATTTATCTCATTTTTATATTTCATATAGTAAACCTGAATCCTTATTTCTTAAGTCTTTACTGTGAATTTGCATTTCCTGATTATACCATTTATTAAACATTTTTCCAACTTTTGTTTCTAGTAAACTAACAAAGATGAGATATTGAAGAACAGGTTCCATGTTTGGAGTATCTGATTAAAGACTTGTTCTATGCTTATAAAAGTGAAAGTCTCCCCTTTGGAAAAATATCTGACTGTAGGACTGAGCAGGAATACACAAGATGAGCCTGGAGCATGTTGTAGTGTGAGAAAGTAAGGAAGTGCTCAAAAATAAAAACATCAGCATTGATAGGAGTTATACCAAAGGGCATAGGAGTCAACTGAAAGAATTCCCAATGGCCAAAGCTAGAACAATTTGAGCAAGAGAATAATGTAGTGGTGGATTTTAACCCAAAGTATAAAATACATATCAATGGTACGCATTAATATAAATGATTAAATAAATTAATAAATGGGGAAGAACAGTCTTATGCAGAAGAATTCCAACTAAATTATATAGATACTTCACTGCAAAGAAGGGGAAACATATCTCTTCACTCCTTAAGTGTAGACCAGGAAGAGTTACTTCCTTCCAAAGAATGCAATATGAAAAGGGAATTTTAAAAGGGTAACTTTACAGTGGAGAAAACTGACAAACTCCACCTCAGCTAGATGATTATGGTCAATATTAACAATGATAACTCATTGTTGATAATATGTTCCCTTGATGTGACGTGAAGAGAATGGCACTTTACCTATGTGACCTTCCTACTTCAAACGCATATATTGCAACCTAGTCATGAGAAAAGCATCAGACAAATTCCAATAGAGGGTCATTCTACAAAATACCTGACCAGTACTACTCAAACTATCAAGGTTATCAAAAAGAAACAAGTCTGAGAGATTGTCACACCCAAGAGGAGACATGAGTACTGAATGTAATATGATGTACTGGGTAAGATCCTAAAACAGAAGGACAATAGGTAAAACACAAGGAAATCTGACTATATAGATTTTAGTTAACATCAATGTATCAAAATGCATTCATTAATTGTAACAGATTACATATTAATGTAAGATGTTAATAGGGAAAATGGGAGGGTGAGGGATAAAGAAGGTATGTGGGAACTTCCTATTTACTGTTAATTTCTGTGTAAATCTAAAACAATTCTAAAAATAGTTATTAATTTTATTAAAAACCACCCAACTTTACACTTAGAAGAAGAAAAAGTACAAACTCTAATCAAAAAAGCTAGGAGCCCATAAGTCTTCCTGTATGGGAAAGTGGAACCAAATGAAGAAGTTATGTCTTTCACTCTCCTAGACAATTCTGGTTGAAAGCTATTTAAAAAGAAAAGAAAAGATATTCTCTTTCATTTATTTATTCTTAAAATATATATATATATATATATTTTTTATTGTTTATGCTATACCGTTGTCCCATTTTTTTCCTCCCCTTTATTTTCCTCCACCCTGCACTGATGCTCCCACCAGCATTCCCCCGCTCCTTAGTTCATGTCCATGGGTTGTACATATAAGTTCTTTGGCTTCTCCATTTCCTGTACTATTCTTAACCTCTCCCTGTCTGTTTTGTACCTATTATTTATACCTCTTATTTCCTGTACATTTTCCCCCCATTCTCCCCCACCCCCTCCCTTTTGATCTCCATTTCTGGGATTCTGTTTCTGTTTTAGTTGTTTGCTTAATTTGTTTTTGTTTTTATTTTTTTAGGTTCAGTTGTTGATAGTTGTGACTTTGTTATCATTTTGTTGTTCACAGTTTTTGATCTCCTTTTTCTTAGATAAGTCCCCTTAACATTTCATATAGTAAGGGCTTGATGATCATGAACTCCTTGAACTTCACCTTATCTGGCAAGCACTTTATCTGCTCTTCCATTCTAAATGAGAGCTTCGCTGGATAGAGTAATCTTGGATGTAGCTCCTTGCCTTTCATAACTTTGAATACTTCTTGCCAGCCCCTTCTTGCCTGCAAGGTTTCTTTTAAGAAATCAGCTGATAGTCTTCTGGGAACTCCTTTGTGAGTAACTGTCTCTTTTTCTCTTGCTGCTTTTAAGTTTCTTTCCTTATCTTTAATCTTGGGTAATGGAATTACGAGGTGCCTTGGTGTGTGCTTCCTTGGGTCCAACTTCTTTGGGACTCTGTGAGCTTCTTGCATCTTCTGAAAATCTATTTCCTTTGCCAGACTGGGGAAGTTCTCCTTCATTATTTTTTCAAATAAGTTTTCAATTATTTGCTCTTCCTCTTTTCCTTCTGGCACCCTTTACGATTCGGATATTGGAACATTTAAAGTTGTTCCAGAAGTTCCTAAACCTCTCCTCATTTTTTTGAATTCTTGTTTCTTCATTCTATTCTAGTTGAATGTTTATCTCTTCCTTCTGCCCCCCAATCGTTGATTTGAGACCTGTTTTCCTTCCCTTTCCTGTTGGTTTCCTGTATATTCTTTATTTCACTTTGTATAGCCTACACTTTTTCCTCCATTTTGCGACTACATACAACCATTTCCATGAGCATCCTGATTACCAGTGTTTTGAACTCTGCGTCTGATAGATTGGCTAGCTCTTCTTACTTCTATTTTTGGAGCTTTGATCTATTCTTTCATTTGGGCCATATTTCTTTGTCTTAGCACGCCTGTTAGTTGGAAGGGGCAGATCCTTAGGTATTGGCCAGGGTGGGGCAACCAAGGTCGCTAAGTTGTGATGCTGTGTGTGAGGGAGAGCTCCAAGAGGGAACAATGCCACTTGCTAGGCTCTTAGCCGGCTTTCAGTCAATTCCCCTGCTACCCACAAGCAAATTGGGCCCTTCTAGTGCTGATTCCCAGGTGGGTGGGTTTGTGTACATTCTTGGACTCTGTGGGTCTCTCTAATGAACACTCCTATGGGGCTGGGAGTTTCTCCCACTGCCACAACCCACACAGGTTTTTACCTCCAGAGGTTTTGAGGCTTTCTTTTCCCACACTGGAACCCTGGGTTGCACAGTCTGTCTCACTCCTCAGCTGTTCCTCCTGATTTATCCACATACAAATGTGGGACCACCTGGGCCTCCATCCACCGCCTTGCCTCTTGCCCTCTCTGCCCTGGCTGCCTGTCTCAGCCCCAACTACCAACTACCATTCAGTCTGAATGAATGTTTCTTCTTTAACTCATTGGTTGTTGGACTTCCATACAGTTCGATTTCTGGCAGTTCTGGTTATTTTTTGTTTTTAAACGTGTTGTTGTCCTTCTTTTGCTTGTGCAAGGAGGCAAAGTATATCTCCCTACACCTCCATCTTGGCCAGACGTCTATTTTCTTTTAAATAAAAGAAAAATTACCTAGGAATTTCTTATATTTCTTTGCAGTCTCACTCAGACAGGTCATTTAACAAGATCAAAGCTGTGTTCAAAGAGAGCTCATTTTAGCCCTAGCTGGTGTAGCTCAGGGGATTTAGTGTTGACTTGCAAACCAAAGGGTCACTGGTTCAATTCCCAGCCATGGCACATGCCTGGGTTGCAGGCCAGGTCTCCAGTATAGGGTGCACAGGAGGCCATCACACATTGATGTTTCTCTTCTTCTCTTTCTTCCTCCATTCCCCCATTTCTAAAAATAAATAAAATCTTTTTAAAAAGAGAGAGTTCATTTTAAAGAAATGCAAATACTTGCACCATTTGATATAGTACATTTAGAAGGTGAATTCTCAGAACTAGAAATAGAGAGTGAATCTGAGCAAAGGATTGCAATAAGTACTATGTGATATGTGAAGGATGGAAAGATGACATTTTTCTTAATTGTTAGGTCATGCTAAAAGTATGTGTGTCACTAGGAGTATAACGTTAATCATGATCCATCCAGATAAATGTGAGGACAGAGAAGATGGAAGCACTTGTAACAATAAAAATAAGCAATGTAAGCCATCCATTTGAGATGAAAGGGACATAGAAAGCAGGGAAAATAAAATGTAACAAGCATGGAAGGAAACTCATTTAGAGAGAGGATAAATAAGCTAAAAAACACAGTCTCTCAGTAAAAGAAGGTCTTAAGTGCTTAAGTATGCTCAATATCAATGTTGGAAGTAGGAATGTATAAAATTATGCAAGCAGATTTCTAAAATAGCATATTTACATGTGGTAAGGTTAAGAGATTTGTTGGGTATCAATGCCTTTTCCAATAAGCAGAACACACTTTCCAGTAAGCCTCCCCACACACAAAAAAATTGACCTTTGTTAACCTTATGGTTTACTCAGCTAGACCTTTGTGGGAAAGCAAATAAGACTAATAATACAGTAAGAATTGTACAATGGTTTAATATTTAATAAAATGTTCATGTTTTACACCAACCTAAAAAATCATTAACAGCGTCTTGCTTCCCAAAAGGTGTCTTTTGCTAGTAAAAAGAAAAAAAAAAGGAGGGAGGAGAAAAAGAGAAAGTAAAACAGTCACCACGTGTAGTCTTTGCAATCAGCATATGTGTATATTTGGTGGATCTTTAACCTACCTAATTTATAACAAGTTACTCATAGCCTATATCGTCACCACATTTCCCTTTTAACTTGTGGAAGATAGGAAAGGCTGGAGGCATGACTTCCTTGCACTGGTTTACACATTATTTTCTGTTTTTCTATATTTACTTTTATTTTAAATTATAATAAAGTAAAATTAATTGGGAGAGTTGTACAGTTCTAGCAATTTTAACACATATATAGATCTGTATAGCCACCACTGTATTTAGGATTGAGAAGAGTGCTGGAATCCAATGAAGTCTCTCTTCTGTTCCTTTATATCACTTTGTTTTCTTTCCATGTCATCATGGACTGTCATTCTTGTTCTTTCTCATTTAAGTTTTTCTCCCTTCTTCTGGGCCATTTCTAACCAATAGATCCTACGAAAGAATGGGAGCAAGAAAAATGCCTATGTCTGTGGGTAGAGAGAAAATCCTAGAAGAGGACTTCAGGGCAATAGGGAAGCAGGAAAACTCATTCATAACACAGGGTTTCCAGTCTTTCATCTGGGCAAGTCTCATAACCTTCAAGGAAGTCTCAGGTCCCTCATCTATGAAAGTAGGATTTGGAGAACTTAAACTCATGTAAGAGACACAGTAACTGGATCAAGACATTCCTAAAGGGATACAGTAAAATGATTATTTTATAATTTTAAGTTAATATATAATTTTATTCTAATTCAGATGCTATCTTATATAGATGCTATTTTTTAAAATATAAGGCAAAAGGGACTTCCTTTCAAGATGGAAGCATAAGTAAACACAACTTGCCTCCTCACACAACCAAATCAAAATTACAACTAAATATAGAACAGCTGTCTCAGAACTGTCATAAATCGAGTTGAATGGAAATCCAACAACTTCAGAATTAAAGAAACCACATCCATCCAGACTGATAGGAAGGGTGAAGACATGGAATGGGCTGGTCCCATATCAACATGTGGTGGATAAAAATTCGGGAGGGATATCATGGGAGAGAGGAGTCCTAGCCCCACACCAGGGCCCCCAACCAAGGATCCCAGTGCCAGGAAGATAAGTCCCCATAACTTCTGGCTGCAAAAATCTGTGGGTATTGAGTCAGTGAAAGAAACTTCTGGAATCCCAAGCAGTTCCTCTTAAAGGATCCACATATGGACTTACTCATATTCACTCTCTGTGAGCTCTAGCACCAGGGTAGTAGCTTAAAAGGCACCAGTAACATACTAGGAGGGACTGAAGTGTCTGGTACTTCAATGTAAGAGCTGGGAACAGTTTTCTTCTGGATAGAAAGGCAGGCAGAGGCCATTGTCCCTTTCTGAGCCTTCTCCCCACAGAGCCACAGGACTGGCAGGCTGGTGCCATATATGAGACTCCATCAACCTGGCTAACACTGTTTGCCCCACCTTTGAAATTCCCTGAGACTCTGTGCCCCCGAACTTATATGCCTACCCAAACTGTTAAGCATGATTTTTCCATATGAATGGCTTGGCTCATGCATCACAACTTCGTAAATCCTATCAAACAAGCAAGAGCCAGCCTCAGTGATCCCCCAGCCTCCATACCTCTTGCTAAGGGGCCCCAGGCATGGCACTAGCAGCAGCCAGCCTAGGTTCACAGTTTGGCCTCGTCTGGAAACCTCCAAGCCCAGAAAAAGTAGCAGCCATCTCAGGCTACTTTATACCTAATGCAGGGTGGCCCTGGGCAGAACATAGATGTGGGCTGACATTGGCCTGCAGCACCCAGGAAATGCCATAATATGCACACCCAGTGGACAACTTTAGACCACATCAGAGAACCACCACCCTGCCCCTGCACAGCTGATCCTCCACAGAGGGCAGAAGTTGCTGGTCAGTGGTCACAGCCAACCTTGCTGATAAGTGGCTTGTGTAAATCCCTCCCATTGACTTGCTAAGAGCAATCAAGTCTCAACTACAAGAGAGCCCACATGGAGGACGCACCTCAATAACCCAGCTTGGGTGATAGAGGAGGCTTTGCCACTGGACTCTACAGGCCTCTACTACATTGGGCCAAGCTATCAAGGCAGGGAGTCATAGCAGCTCTACCTAATACATAGAAACAAACACAGGGAGGCTGTCAAAATGAGGGGACAAAGAAACATGGCCCAAATGAAAGGACAGATCAAAACTCCAGGAAAAGAATTAAACAAAATGGAGATAAGCAATCTATCAGATGCAGAGTTCAAAACACTGGTTGTAAGGATGTTCAAGGAACTTTCTGAGGACCTCAGCAGCATAACAAAGATTCAGTAGAAATGAAGTTTACACTAATTGAAATAAAGAACAATTTACAAGGAAACAGAATGGATGAAGCTGAGAATCAGATCAATGATTTGGAACATAAGGAACCAAAAAACAACCAATCAGAACAACAGGAAGAAAAAAGAATCCAAAACATGAGGATAGTGTGAGCAGCCTGTGTGACAACTTCAAGTGCTACAGTATTCACATCATAGGTGTACCAGAAGGAGAAGAAAAAGAACAAGAAATTGGAAATCTATCTGAAAAAATAATGAAATAAAAAACCTTCCCTAATTTGGTGGAGGAAATAAACATACAAGTTCTGGAAGTACAAATAATCCCAAACAAGATGGATGCAAAGAGGCCCAATCTGAGAAACATCACAATTAAAATGTCAAAGGTTAAAGATAAAGAATCTTAAATGGAGCAATAGAAAAGCAGTTACCTACAGAGATGTCCCCATAAGACTGTCAGACGATTTCTCAAAAGAAACTCTGTAGGCTACAAGGAATTGGCAAGGAATATTCAAAGTCATGAAAGCAGGGACTGACAGCCAAGATTGCCCTACCCAGCAAAGATATCATTCAGAATTGAAGGGCAGATAAAGAACTTCCCAGACAAGAAAAAACTAGGGAGTTCATGATCACCAAACCATTATTATATGACATATCAAAGGGACTTCTTTAAGAAAAAGAAGAATATCAAAACTATGAACAATAAAATGGTGATAAATACATATCTATCAACAACTGAACCTAAGAAACAAACTAAGCAAACAAGAACGGAGACAGAATCATGGATTCAGATAGCGTATTGATGGTTGCCAGATGGGAGAAGGTTGTAAAGCAATAGGTGAAGAGGTAAAGGAATTAAGGGGTACAAATAGATAGTTACAGAATAGCCATGGGGATATAAAGTACTGCATAGGAAATGGAGCAGCCAAAGAACTTACGCGCATGACCCGTGGACATGAACAATGGTGTGGGGATGGTCTGAGGGACTGGGGGGTGCTATGTGGAGGGGACAAAGGGGAAAAATTGGGACAATTATAATAGCATAATCAATAAAAAATAATTTAAAAGTAAATTGAAAAGATTGTAAAAAAAATAAAATTACTTTGGAGGCAACAAGAGTAAGAGAAGCCATCTGACTCTCCTCTCTTTAAATTCAGCAAATAAATCTACATGTGATAGGTGCCCTCACTGCTCCTTGAGGCAGAGAGACACCTTATTACAAGAGTTTTAAAAAAATCGAGAGTCAAAAAATCCTTTGTAAGTAAACCTTGTAACACCTTTACTAATTTACTGTCTAGGTTAATGGGTTTTATTATGACAACTATTTTTCATCTTTAGTGGTAGAATAATTACATCCAGCTTGTAGAATAATTCTAGTCGAGAAGAGTCTTTTTAAATATTGATTTTAGAGAAGGAGAGAAAGACATGGATTTGTTGTTCCACTTATTTATGCATTTATTGTCTCCTTCCTGTATGTGTTCTGACTGAACCTGCAACCTTGGCATATTGCGAGGACACTAATCAACTAAGTTACCTGGCCGGGGCCTAGAGAGCCTTAAGTTTAACCTCTAGATTCCACATTTACAATTTATGTATAGGCTTTACCTATTTCTGCTGGAAAAGAATATATAAAACAGAAAGATAAAAATTGATATTAAAAAAACATTTAAGTTACAGCACTTGATCTTAGAATAGATATTTTTCAAATATTTTGAAATATGTTAGAAGTATATATACATTATGAATAACATTTATGTGTTAAGAAGAAATGTACAAACAAAAATTCATTATTTTGTAATCCAAATATCCATTAACTTCTTTAATATGTCTTGCAATGTTTTTAAAAAGTGTTTATACATTTAAAGTCTCTTTTATCAGAAAAAAATAACACTATATGAATTTGAAATTTGTCCAAAAGAGTCACATTTGCTTAAAGACACATGTTTACTTCCCAGTGTACTAATCTGGCTGATGCTAGGTTAGAAAAGAAGTAAGATCAGAAAACTGCAGTCACTGCTATTTTTGATAGTTTTGTACATATCCTCCTTTAATGGGTTAATACTTTCCAATATTATCTTCTGGTACTCACCCAACGTATTCTGTTACTACACCAAACTTTTTATTGTCTCTAGACAAATCAGGTCCCTTTAATGACTC